CACCCCAAAAATGGCACGTGTGGGTCAGCCCACCCCAAAAAATGGCACGTGTGGGTTGTGCAAGGGCTGTGCTGGCCGTGGGCATCGGCTTCTCGAACTGGGAAGACCACAGAAGGGCAGGAAGGTGGCGAGCCATGGGCATGGAGAACACAAAGGCAAATTGAGGCAATGGGGAGCCCAACGTTGAGGTGTGGGTAGGAGGCAGCACCGCCAAGGCTGTGGGGTCTCTGCCACGTTGCTCTGACTGGCTACGAACAGGAATGAGTGCAATTTCGAGGCTCTTTGGTGAAATACACCTTATTTTCCCCCAATTCACAGGCCTCTTGGGCAGCATGCCCTCTGCGGGTATGTCTGTCTCCAAGGAAATGGGAACAGAGCATCCCTGTTGCTCGCCGGCTGGAAATATAAAACAATAATACTGCTTGCTCAGCCCAGGCTCAACGGGAGGATGAAAGGATGTCACAGTACGGGGAAGAAAACCCAGCCTTTTGAGGGCTTGCCCACTGAGAGAGGAAACTTTCCCTTGGCTCTGCCACCGAAGGGGACAAGGGACCGGTGCCTGGTGGGACCCAGCTTCTCCCACACAAAGGGCGGACGTGGTGCAGCGCTGCACTGAAGCGTGGCTTTGCCCAGTTGAGACAGGTCTGCTAAAAATAATAGGAATTGCAGGCAGTTGCACTAACAGACTTGGAAGCTGTGACTCAGGAAGGTCCCTCAGGTCCCCTCCTGTCTGATTCTTTGAAGGAGACAGTAATTTCTCAGCTTGCCTCGTACCTCGGGGTCTGTAGTCTGGTCGGATATGGGGAAGCCACTTCCCTAATTCCTGACACAGATGGGATGCTCCCACAGACCCCTCTGCTGCTCCAGGCTGCCTGCTCAGGCTCCAGATGACAACATATTTATAGCATTTTTATTAGTCACCGCTCAGATGCAATAACCAGCCACAGCGTGTCTGGCGGGGTGAGGAGGTGGGGACAGCTGCCTGGGGACCGGGGCTGCTGCAGGGAGCTCCGGCTGTGCTGCGGTGGGACAACACGTTTCCTGAGAGCAGCTTTCACTGGCAGCACGGAGCGTGTACCACGTTCTCCATGTGTGAAGCAGAGACCTGGGTGCAAAAGGCTCTGAAAGGCTCTTTTGAGTTCAGAGGTCTCAGTCAAGCAAGACCCCTACGCCTGCTGAATGGTTGCTGGGCTTTGGGGGCACCGGGGCCAGCTCTGTACATGTATATATGTATATGTGCACACATTGTTTCCCTGATAAAAGCAAAGCAAACAAATGAAACAGCACAGCCGCACAGCCTCCCTTAAATGCACTTCAGGCTGTATGATAAAAAGGGCAGAGCGCTGCCGTTAGGCTGAAGGTGCCTCTTTATTATGCAGCAAAGTAATTATTTCCCTGTCAGTAGATAGGACTCCAGCCACTTGGCACTTTCTTACATGCCATTTTCAAATCCAAAAGAGCAACTTGGGATTTTGTGATAATTCAAGCAATCAGATGAGCTCATGCACATGGCATTCATTCACTAGAAACGCCACACAGATCCCATTCAGCCTCAGCACTCGTAAATCCATGTGACACTTTTATCTATTTATAAACTTTTAACAGCAGGTTATGATTGTTATGCAAGCCATTTTCCAGGGATTAATAAGCAGCTTGTGTTGATGGCAGCGAGAAGGGCCATTAACTGCTCTGGGATGGTCATTAATCTGTAGTAAATGCTCAGCATCTGGATCGTTTCTGCGTAATTAAATAATCAATACTGCCTTTTGATTCAAATAACTGGAGAATTGTATTTCAAATTTATCTTGGCTAAGGGTGTTCTTAATTCTTTTAGTTTACAGCAGGGCAGGAAACAGCCACATGGGTAAGTGAGAGCTACTCTGGGTGTGACCGGGTCTTAAATCATCAGCTTTTCCATACAAAACATCCCAACTGATCAAAACATTGTTCAAAACAACTACCAAAACATATTAACTGGACTAAATGCTGAAAAAAAGGTCGCAAATTTGTTCTTCTTTTTGCGTTAATATCAAGGTCTTTCATTATTTGAATAAAATTATGACTCCAAGTGACCCAATGCTCGGAGGTAGACTGGCAGAACAAAAATAGTCAAACAGAAACCCCCCTGCCCGGCCATCTCTAGAAAAGTCCCTTGGATTCACTACTTATCCTGCTGCCATGACCTCTGCACCCTCGGACTGGCGTGGCTGTGCTCCTTGGTTCTCTTTCCTCTCCTCACTTTCTCTCACTGGGGCATAAGTCACTTTTCTGGTTTTGTTTAATTCTCGTCTTTGCTGCTGAATGCAGCGATCTGCAGAGGTGCTGACAGATAAAAGTGACAGTGCCCACTGCAAACCACGCTGCCACCGTGCTGCTGCCAGCTCTGCGGAGAGCTGGGGAAATGCCTGGGGAGGTAGAGGTCATCACAGCTGGCAGGCTGCAAGTGGGAGAGGAAAACATGACTTTCAGAAGAGAGAAGGAGACTTAGTGTATCATCTCGGGATCATATGCCAATTCCCATTCTTCTGAGCTATCTTTTCACCAATCCGCACCTTGGCATAAGGACACGGTGAACAAATAACAGCTCACCTTCACTGCTGGTGGGGTTGAAGCTGAGAAAAAAACAAGCACTCACACAGTCAGATATCTATTCATATTTTGAGGCTGGGAAGACAAGAGGAAGATTTTGCAAGAAATGGAGAGGAATATCACTGACTCAATAGCAGAGCTTTCAGATGTAGCTAGCACTTGCAAAGTTAGGCATGAAGAGATAAGGGAAAGGGGACGGTGGTCATCATAAATTCAGCTCAGCTAAGAGCTAGCTGAGTTTACAAGAGCAGGGGCTTCCCTTTAAAAGAGAGAGAGCAGAAATAGAACACACGCTGAACCCTGAAGAGGAACAAGGAGGTAGAAGATGAGAGGACTGCACACCATAAGAGCATCTGAAAGGGTTAGCTGGAAAACCACAGCAAAGACAATTTGGTGCAGAAGGAAGAACCCAGGACAAGAAGGAAGAAACAGCAGATAAAACAAAGTCATCAGATTTGTCTGTGGAAAGCCTTGCTGCAATAAAATTGCTGTCACCAAGAAAGGGATGAGAGCCAAATGGGGAAGGAATTCAGTGTCATTATGAAATCAAAGCAGCAGGTTTAGATCAAAAGGTCTCTGGCGCAGGGGACATGTCTGATCATGCATCACACGGTGATGGACAGGATGGGGCTTTTGTCTTGACTTTAGCCCCTGGGTGTTGTCAGAAAGCAAACAACACGCCACAGAATCTGTGCCAGGGCCTGAGTGTGCAGCTGAGCGTGGTCGGGATGGATGTGTCAGGAGGCAGGCAGGGGGAAGGCAGGGGTGAGGAAGGAGGTGGAAGGGAATGCCTAAATCAGAGTACTCGTCCAAAGCCTCAGAGGGGAAGAGAGTCAAGTGGGGATTGGAAAATGATCACTTGTCTGCTTTAGGTCTCCCACGTAGTGCAGGGAGCAATCACACATCCCCAAAGGTGCAGCAGGGGCTGTTAACAGAGGTTTCCCCATGTCTCACCATCTACCCCGTTCAGGTCACACCTAACATCACGCCAGAGCTGGTCTAAGGGCTCCAGGCTCCCCAGGGTGTCCTGTCACTGTGGCCAGCCCGTGGGAGAGTGCTGCAGGGGACACAGCACTGAGGGCACAGGGCTGGGGCTGCTGCTCCCCAGGTCAGGGCAGCAGAAGCATCCTCAGTCCCCATCCTCCCTGAATTTCCCCCCAAAAGGTTTTTGAAATTATTTTAACCTTGTACCTGAGCAGCCAGGCTTGGAGCGCTGAGGTTTTTTAGGAATTCACACCAGTGCCGGTGTGTTTTATTCTGCAAAGCACAGATAAAATGCTCCCTCGGTCTATTTTTCTCTTGTACTAGAATCCAGGCATTATTATGCAAATTTCCACTATAGCAAAATTACAGCAGAATAAATAGCTCTGCTATACACGAAGGGGAATCCTATTACATCTTCAGTAACTCTCAGTAAGCATCATCGCTATTATACCAATTGAAGAGACAGAAAACAATTTTTAATTAAAAATATTTATAGCAGGCATAATACCAACTGCCAGTTTCACTACCCAGTGAATGCATTTTGCAGCTGGTACTAATTCTCTCTTATTTCTACGAGGTTAGCCAATATCAGCTGTTCATTAAGCGGAGGACATTTCAGGAGTGTCCATATTATATGCTGTAACTAACTGCAAAGTTCTTCCTTTGACAGATTTCAGGAAATCAAGATTGCTTTGCTAAGTTATTCTGGGACTTCATAATAAGGAGGTCATTTCCCAGTGATCTGAGTGGGCTGCATCATCAGTTTTATTCAAATAAATCCTACAAACTGCTTTCCAGCAGATAAGAACATTTTAATTAGCAATATATCTTTTGTCTCCTATCTGCAGCGGAGTAGGGGGCGGGAAATTGATTGCAGCACACCCTTTATTTCACTGGGATAGCAGCATAATCAGAAGGTGTCAGCAGAAGCACGGGTGAATTAATTTCTATACAGTTTCGAGCAGCCGAATGCACGGCTGCCCCTGCGATGTGTTTCAGGGTGGTCTCACCCCAAAACACTCATATTTTCTGTGCCAGAAAGCAGATAAGACCTCAATTCTTGCCCTGGTTAAATGGATGTATCCCTGAATGTGCTTGTACGCAGATATATGCTGCGGGAGCAGCCAAAAGCCTCTAACTCCTGCAGCAGGCAGAGGACCAGACCCAGGGGGGCCCTGTTCCCACACACCTCCATCCCCCCCTGCCCCTCTGTGCCAAGGGCTGCGTGTCTGAAATCCCAAGCTGGGGTGGTGGCCCCACCAGCCTGGTGTCCCTGAGGAGCCCTCTCCCCATAAAATCTGTGATTTAGTGGCTCAGTTTGTCCTTGGTTCATGTTCACATGAGTCTGAGGGAACTCAGCGTGCTGAAGGATCCAGCCCATAAAGTCTGATACAAAACTTTGTGTTTGCTGCATTCACCCCTGGGACAGCCAGTGAGAAATTCCCCTGTGATTTATCAACGTAGCAGCTGGGACCTGACAAACAAAGCTGCTTATCATAACCTGCCTCGTGACTTACTCAATCCTTATGGTTATTGTTTTTTGAGTTTAGAATATTAACAGGCTGTTTCAAACCCCAGAATTTAGCAAGCTTTATTTCATAATTGGAAAGATCAACCCCCCCATGAATCCATGAAGTCATTTACGACACACATATCCTTCCACCCACAACTGATTTCACAGCAATTTCCCCTGGCCAGATCCCCAGTGACAACCGTGGAGCCCAGGGGACAGGGCTGGGGGCATGAGGTGTGAAATAGGGGAAAGGTGCATCCACAGGGCAGCATCTTGGAGGCAAGGGCTTTGGGAGCTCCTCAGGGCCCCTCCCAAGGACCTTCCCCCTGTACAGCCTGCAAACAGAGCTGAGAAGAGCAGCTGCTGTCGCTTAATTAGCCCTTGGGGGTAGTTTGCTAAAGCAAACACACCTTTGAAGCTTGTGAAAGCCCTAGCACGTCCATGAGCTGGTCTCGCTCTGGGCAAGCCTTGAGCCAGTCGCCAACAGCTTTGAGGAGCTGACCTGCACCAGCTCCATGTAGGAACACCCAAAATGTTAAGTCCATTTTTTTTTTTAACCTACAGGGTAGCAAGTCCTTCAGGCAACCGAGGAGCAAGTCCCTTCTTCTTTCTGAAGTGGCAGTAAGGGCTTTCAGAGCACCTTGGGCTGAGCGTGTGAAACAAAATCACTGCAGTAGCCCAAGATCTGACTCTCTGAGCAGTTGTGATGTCCTAGTGTACCTCTTATTTTAGCTGTTACTCTCAGTGCTTTGTGTAGGTGAGCAGTGTGCACTTGGGTGCTGTGCTGTTTGTTTCCTCATGGTAGCAAACAAAGCTGCAGTGGAAGAAATTCTGACAAGCAACCCTCAGGCAGTCTCTTAGCAAGTGGAAAAACATCTGAGAAATCTTCCTCCTCCTGCTGCTCATCCCCTGGTCAGCCGTTCATTAAATAACAGATGGAAAAGCAACCCCTTCTTTCCCCCAGAGGTTTTGTCTGGGTTTAAGTGCAATTCCTAGGCTGCACAGAACTCCACAGTGAGCGAAGGACCTGGGAACCCATCACCTGCTCTGTTGATAAGCTTGGCAGCCCCCTTTCCTTACTGGAGCTGTAAAGATCCAAAGGCAGGAGCTTTTCTAAGCACGTGTTTGTACAGGAGGGCAATTTGAGATGACCTTGTTCAAGGTACAGCTCTAACGCAGACTGCTAGCTGCTGGACACCAGGTTTGTCGTAAAGTCACATCCGATGCAGAAGGAAATGCAATGGAGCTGTCGGCTTGCAGAGTAGCTGTTAAAACAACCATTTCAGATGAAATGTTGCAGACCGAAGTTTGAATGATAAAATTTCACTTTTGCACGCCACCAGGAGGAAGAAAAGCGCCCATCTGTTCCCCGAGCACTGCACATTGTTCAGCAAACCACTCACAGCTTGGCAGATCAGCACATTAGAAGAAAGAAAAAAAAAATGCCGACCGTAGATGAGCTAGAATACGAGATGAGTCATTGAAGTTTACCCAAAAGCGACGTAAAAAAGATGGTCCTTGCCAGGATGTGATGCCAGGGTGCTCTCCCAGCCACGGCATTGGGCCTAGCGCCGTGCTTCCACCACAGAGCCTGGCAGGGCCGCTTGGCTCTTGGTGAGGGGAGCAGACAAGGAGCACCATTATCACGTACCTCAGCGGGGCTGCCTGTGTCAACCAGCGAGCTAGTTTTATTCAGCATGTGATGTCTGACTGGTGAATAAGGCATTTCGGGTCTCCTGGAAAGATTTTATATCCAAACCAGCTGGAATCCCATTGACAGGAACAGTCTCTTCCTTCCCCTGCCTGGTACTCCCAGTCAGACTGAGCTGGAAATGTCTGAGGGGAAACCTCACAAATCTTTGAGCGAAATCTGCTGGTGCTAAACATCTGACAGTTGTTCATTAAGCGAGACCCGGGCAAGCGTTTCATCGCTGAGATGAGCTTTTAATACATGAATAGGGGGTGAGAAAACATATTTGTGGGCATTTCAAAAGGCTGTCATATGAGGAGACGCCGAGTCTGAGCAGGTTGGAAAAGCTGCCGAGCGTATTGGAAACCTCTCAAATGGACTCATGCTTTTACAGCACAAAGTTGCTGTTGAGCCTCCAGACAAAAGCGAGAAGCAGACACAGCGGGCAGGCGGAGGGTGCTGAGCCCCGGCCTTCCCTCAGCACATTACTGGGTTATAAGGCGGGGATCTTACACAGCCCTGCGGCTCCCCATGCACAGCATCGCACCCAGCCACCCCAAAACAAGGCCACCGTAGTCCCACCACCTCCCAGTGGCATGTGTGATGTGCTGGGACTTTCCAGATACTCTGGGAAGGCCAGCAGGGCCTGGTAACTCTACTACAGCTCACGGTCAGTGCAGAAAAGATGTATTTTCTAGCCATGAGTCTACCACCATATGTTCAAGGACAATTATTACATTGTTTTCAAATGTATTGTAAATGAGTTTTGAATATAATGTAAATTCATTAAAAATAAAAGCTAAAAGAGGACCTTCAATAACTGGAGATGGAAGGGCATTTAAGATGATATATATATAAAGGGCAGAAACATTCAGTAAAACGTTTTTTCTCTGCTTTTGGAAAATGGTACTGCCTCCTGTTGCAGGGGCCGAGTGCATCTTGTGCATCCCAAGTGTCTGAAAAGAACTGGCTGAGAAGTGAATGATTTTTCAGTAGCTTCTTAAAGACCAGGAGAACTACAGAAATTTTAAAGCAAGATGGTGATGTGCTGATTGAAGAGGACAGGTAGGATGTCACTGGTTGACATCTATGGACTGGCTGGTTGATTTCCATCCTAGGTGAAATTACGGGTAAGCTAGATATGAGTGGCATACATTTAATTTCTGACATGATTGTCTTATAAGAACAAACCTGCATCATTTAACATGTCTCACTTTCCCAGTTTACAAGGTTGGCTGATGAAAGGCAGCTATGGACACTCTAACCTATACAGATTATAACAGTATCTGGGTGTTATCTCAAAAAGCCTCACCAACATCAAACAAACAAAACCCTCACACAGGCAGTGGATTAAGACCTACCTGATTAACAATGAGAGCAGCCCTGAAATGAACTGCCAGATTTGTGATTCACTCTGTGTAGGACCAAGGCAGGGTTTCTTTGTTGAGCACCTGAAAGCAATTACAAAAACAACGCAAAGTCAATGAGTGGAAAATGAAGAGGTTGTGACAGAGAAGGAGGCTATGATATGACAGTCACGCAGAGTGAGCTGGGGCACTCAGTCAGCTCGAGTCAGAGTCATCCAAACAAGAAGTATCTGAACACGAGACAAAGGAAAAACACGGACCTGAGAAGGAGTGCTGGCTGGACCCACACAGTGGGCAAAGAAATCTTGGAAAGAAGTGGTTGTGTGTAGCACTTGGGAATTAAAAGAGTACAAGCAATACTGCTGAAGTGACCAGAACAATGCTGTAACAGCAGCAATCTCCACACACACATATATATATGGATATATGGACAAGAAAATAACATCACTGTGACACAAATATTTATATGAAGCACTGGGGAGGTGATCCTGCAAAACCGTATCTAGTTAACAACTACATTTCTTACAGAATTAAACCTAATGTTCCATATAATTAGAAGACAGCAAAATTGCCAAAAGCTCCAGGAGAAAATGTCATTTGCTTGTCAAAATCTGTAGAGAATGTCTCTGTAAGGTCTCAAAATACCTAGTATTAAGAAAGCATTAATTCAGATAGAGGAGTCAGTGATAATATTCAAATTATCAATGGACAAATAAGTATCAATTTTATGTAGCAATAATAGGAAAAGCAATTTTTATGTGAAAGCATTTTTCAGTAAGAAAAAAGAAAGGATGATTATCAAATGCTTCTGATAGAAATATTTTTTCCACTTCTTAAAGGCTTCAGTGGAAGATTTTATGCCTTGCTAGATGAAGGGTTTTAGTTTAACACAAGTTCTTTAATTCAATATGTGGACACTCAAACTAAATGTAACTCTCTGTTCACAGCAGGCATTTGTGCTACATCTCATGGTACTTTCCTGCCCTGAGATCTGTGACCTTCCCAGTTCTCTCCCCACATTGCTCCGTGTATTAAGGCTTGCACCGTGGAAACCACAAGTAGGCTAGAAAATATCCTCATAAATCTCTGTGGTTAAGCAGCACTTCTTATTTAGGGTTTGAGGCCATCTCTAAATGAGGATAGAGGAAATAAAGAGAATTAGCAGAAAGACAAGAAATGCCTATATCAATAGTATTAGATCTGTAGGCAGCCAGCAAGCTCACTGGCAAGAGCACTGCCCTGACACAGGTCACACAACCCCACTCCAGCATGTGCTGGGCTGACACATCCTGCCTGCTTGGTCTCAAAGCTTTTGGCTGTAGGTTTGGGCTGTGTGCTGATCCTTTTATCACGTTTAAGAGCAGGAACTGTGGTCCTGCCAAAATTAGATAAGGGTTAAAAAAAAAAAGACAAGGGCACCAGCACACGCTGCTATCAGAGAGCTTGATAGTGCTCTACACAGTTGGAAGTCATCAGCAAATTAGGTATAAAAGGAACAGGCAGCGTGTTCCCAGCTGAACTGCTGTAAATGTCACAGCATTTGTATTGATACCACTGGCTTCTTCATTAAAAAAAAAAAAAAAAAAAAAAAAAAAAAAAAAAGAGAGAGAGAGAGAAAGAAGATAATATTGCAAAGAGGGTTGTTTTTTCAAATGAGAAGAGTCAAACATTTAGCAAAATCTGCCCTGCAGGCATCTAATAATAAGACTATAATTGGGTGATGGTTAAATGATAATTGGAGCTGAATGGCTAAGTAGTAACTCTTCTACATCACAGATAAAAATACTTAAAATGTGTAAAATATTTTATACCAAAGAGCAAATGGGAAATGGGATAAAGTTGTGAAAGTGTCTGAAGCATTTATTTGGATCAGAAAATACTTAGAACAGCATGAAGCCTGGGCAAAAATAATTGTAGCTTTGAGGAAGGTACAAAAATGATGAGATGAATCCATGGGTCCTGAGGGAACAGGCAAATGTAATTGCTAAGGCACTGTCCATCATATGTGAGAAGTCATGGCAGTCTGTTGAAGTTCCCACTGACTGGAAGAGGGGAAACGTAACTCCCATTTTTAAAAAGCTGTGGATTCTCCATCCCTAGAGGTGCTCAAGGCCAGGCTGGATGGGGCTTTGGGCAACCTGGTCTGGTGGGAGGTGTCCCTGCCCTTGGCAGGGGGTTGGAACTGGGTGGTCTTTAAGGTCCCTTCCCACCCAAGCCATTCTGTGATTGTGTACAGTATTGATTTAGGGTTAATGCTCTGCCATTATCTTAAGAATCTCATTCATTGTTAGAAAACCAGATACACTTCCCACTAGGTCACAAAACGCAACACTTTCTCCATCGCTGCTTCCTCAATATCCAAAGGAACTGTTCTGCAGGAGCTGTAATTGATGGCCATTTCAGCTCATCATTTTTTAAAGGGAAAATTATGTTTGAAAAAATATTATGAAAAAAAAATCCAGAATACTTTGGCATCTCTTGGTCTTTTGGTGAAGAAATAAGCAGGATAAGGCAGGTTTCTGTGTACAGTACATGAGCCAGAGAGGAGATCCCAAGTTGCTGAAGGGATTTTATGAAATCTCAGTGAGGTAACATCTGCCCATTCAACACAGCTCTACACGGATGTGTTAGAAAGACTCCTACAATGTTCTGAGTGCCACAGTGCGTCACTTTTTCCTTTTCATCCAGGAGGAAACTACTCCCATTGTAATTTATGAGTCTGTGTTTGGTATCAAACAGGCTGTGACCTCCCTGATGGGAATGAGGAACCTTAGAGCAGATACTGCCTCGTGATTAATTCCTGTGGCACACAGGAAAGAGCAGCAAGGACATTTCACATAACCCTTCAACCTCCCCTTCTGGGGGGACCATAGCTCTTATCTGCCTTGGAGAAGTAAAGTCAGGGCCTACATTGCAGCTGAACAATATTTTGACACAGGAACCTATATACCAGGCTCGTAAGCTAGGAAAAGAGAGCATGACCATGGCCACCCACTCCTACAGCAAGAACATTTCCTCTCATGAAGCCCAGTTTTGCCTCCCTGCCTAGCCAGCAGCTTATGCTTCAGGTTTGTCCCACAGATTTATTCAATTTTCAGCACAGCACTCAAGGGCAATCACTTTTTCCTTGAAGTTTCTTCCCACCCAGATCTGTGGCTACCAGCTGCCGGAGACAGTGAGAGGTGTCCCCAGGGGGCAGGGCATATGAATAGATTCATTTTGGCAAAGTAGTTACAATCAGTGGCTTTAATTGTAATAAAATCTAGCAGCAGGACACCTTCATTTGAATAATTGATTTGAATTTTGTTCTGGATTTCTTCTCTTTGATTCTTTCACAGGACAAAGTTAGACATCCTTGACTGCTAGCTGTGAAGGTGGGTTGGTATGAAGTTGTATATGGTCTTTGCAAAGAATTTGGCATTTGTTTCTGCTAACCAGGAGGACACACAATGAATATATTTAAGCCACTGTACAACTTAGCATACCCTGCTTCGGTTCTTCGTTTTGTCTGATAAAGAACAGCAAATGAAATCTAAAAAACAAAGAAACAAACAAACAAAAACAAAACAAAACAAACGAATAAACAAAAAACCTTGTTTTTCACCCTCCTGTTTCTGGATGAAAGTGGGATTTAATAAAAGTGCAGAAATTGTAAAACTGTACTAATTTCTTTTAATGTGTGTAATATACTCTTGAAATTCCATTTTGCACCAGAAACCATGGCTTTTAGCCTTATCCATAGTCAGAGATTTTAAACTCTTTTTGCTTACCTGATAAATTTAAAAGCCTCTTCTCTTCTGCATTGTTTTTATACCTAAACCAGAAAAGAAAAAACATGGCTTTTCTACATACGTGTAAAAACCTGATTCAGTTCCCCAAATGTAATCGAGCCTATTATTGTGCTGAAGCCAACTAAAGCAAAACAAAGCAGATTTTCCTTCTGTACTGGAGAACAGGGGGCTTTAGCCAAAAGCTGGTGCATCTCCTCAGACTTTAAAGGCAAGCAGCTATTGTTTGAACATTATCTGTCAGTGTTTATTCGATTCATACTTCTTAGTTCCATGGTAACCTGAAAATAGGCCATCATGATTTTGAACTAACTTTCAATTATTAGTTATTTTAAGAAAAAAAGTGAGATGGCAGGGCCCATGTGCAGGATGCTGAATGGGTACGGTGCGGGTAGCAGCCTCCCCAGCTGTCCCACATCTGGAGCTGGGCACATTATAAGGAGCAGAGACGTGCTCCTGCCTCCACCACCGGGCAGCAGGCCACTCACTCTCTACGAGGTGCATCCAAGGCTACGGCTACCCGCCGAGAAGCCTGATGGCCCAGGATTTTTCTGAATTACCCTGCCAGACAATAGCAATTCATATGTTTAAGAAATCCGGGGAGGATTTGCAGCTTTAGTGCTGAGAAATCGTATTATGTTCTCTGAATAGCCCCTTTTGGTCTTGACATTTACAGCCTCTTTTCACACGGACGTTAGGTTACAACTGTGCTGTAGCTGCATACGGGGTCGTGTAATCGCCGTGCCATAACAACATTTTGTTCTGACAGTCATTTACTCTCTGCTGTAACCACTTCCTCGGCTGCAAGCAGGGCTTAGATGAATGCATTGTAGATGTCCTTCTTTCAAGCAGTTCCTGAGAAAATGCTTGAAATGGGCCACCACGCTTTGTACACGTGGTTAATATAATCTTTAATTTCTGCTTAAAAAGCGATTTCTGCTTAAGAAGTCATTTTCCTGCTTCTAAGCTTCACATCCAAATGCAAAGGTAAAATCATATTTCACGATGACACCAACCTCAGTAGCAGAGTCGCTCTGTCAAACAGTGCCTGCAGAGATGAAAGCCCTGTGCAGGACACTTTACATACGTTGTGATTCCATTTGAGAAGGTTTCTTGGTGTCCCTACTTGTAAAGCTGTCAGTGAGCTTTATTGCTGCTCACACTTAACCTTCCCCTGAGCACCAGCCTCAAAGCCTCAGTGCTTTGTGGGCGCCATCGGTCTTTCAGATACAAAAAATATTGCTTTTTTTGCTAAAAGATGTGCTTTGTTCCTTTCCTTGGATAAGCAGAGTGTCC